AACAGTATAAATGCCGTACACAAGATCAATGAAAACCAACTTTTGCACCGACACCTTACCAACCAAGAAGTTTCTTTTACTCTGATAACTAAAACAAAGCCCTGCTAGTGGTGCTCCCCTCAAAGTCACACATTAAAGTGGAAATTCTGTCCATAATTTAACTTCATTTCCAGTTGAATTGTGCGATACAAGCACACTAGATTTTCACAAAAATACACTACCATAATGATGAGAGAAGCAAGGGTGAATTAAGGCAACAATAAACCACATTTAATTGTAATGAAATGCCATTTTCTGGGCAAGTCCCGGAGGCCCCCTGAAGCAATCCGAACTGTTATGTTTGGGCGTCATCAGTCAAAGAAGTTCTTATGCCTACCAAGAACCACGAGCTAGATCCTGGTCCCCCTCAGAGATGCACAGGCAGCAACGGCCTATGAGCACTTAACATTTAAAGTATTGGGCGGGGGCTCATTTAAGGAGCGCGGGGGTTTATGAGGTTCAACAGCGTCTTTGCCACCAGGTACCTAGTGAACGTTCTGGTTCCTTCTCGGCTGTGAGTGGTTTTCGGGCTCCTGTCGCAGCCATCTGTCTCAAGAACTGGAGTGGTGGGCTGCCGGCTTCCTCCCCCCTCCAGGGGCAAGCAGAAGTGCTAGTCACATGAAGGGTTGTATGTTTGGTTTCTTTCTAGGGAGAGTTATTTTGGTCTTTCAGGATGTAGATTGCACAGGTTAACCAGACAGTGGTCTGTTTTGATTTGCCTATCTTTCTGGGTCCTTTCCCAGTCGATGACAATGACATACTTTACATCTGAAGTGCTCATAGGCCATTGCTCCCTGCGCCTCTGAGGGGACCAGGTTCTGGCTCGTGGGTCCCGATAGGCAAGAACTCCTGTGACTGATGACCCCAAACTAATACAACACACATCAGTTCGGAAAGCTTCAGGCAGGAGATGGGGCTCCCCACAGAAAAATGCCCGTTTCCAATGTCTACTTACTTTGCCAATATTAGTCCATGTAAGACACCATTAAGAACTAATACAAGGCATTAACTGGTATGCATTCAGCTTGTATGTCAAGTTATACAACAAGTGTTATTGGATGGATGCTATCCTAACGTGTTAATTTCCCACAAAATTGGTATTCAAAAAAATTCCAATTAGTTTCCCTTTTTTTTTAATATTTTATAATGACTGTACTGTAGTATAACACCATACAGACCCTAATCAAGCAGGTAACACTACATCTGGGTTAAATGCCTGTGTGACATTTCAAATTTATTAAATTAAAAACTAAAATTTTTTATATTTTTATAGTGTATAGTGATCATGAAACCCTAAAAATGTCACCCAGTTCAGTCACCACAAATCGGCCAGAGTGATTTTACACTGGGCAGTTTAACGTGGACCTGCTTCGACAGGTTGAAAATTTTTACGATCATACATCGGTTTTACAGTGTGAATGTTCTGTTGTGTATGAATTTGGGTAGTAATTGCCATTCAAATATTGCATCAATCTTCTTCATACTGAATGTGATAGAAAACTTATCTAAAAGTAGCCTTTCTGAATGCAGTCATGTAACTGATAATTTTTTAAAAACCATTTATGGCAGGGTTAACGTGGTAGCTACAATTTACTTGCCTAGGCTGTTTTTTTAATTTAAAAAACCCAGGCATTTAAAACAAAAATTTTGTTTATCTATTAATTGGACAAAAACCCAACCTTCCTTAACCCCAAGGGGGTTTAAGATTTTTTTTTTTTTTTTTTTTTTTTTTTTTTACCAATCCTGATTTAAGGCTATGCTCAAAGTGATACAGGGTATACCAAACATTTAAGTTCATCCTGGTTCAGCAGGTAGTGTGTGTGTGTCTGGGAAGCCCAGGGACTTGAATTCTATCCCATCACATTGCCTCAATATTCGTTTTCTATCCAATGATTATAATTGTCATAAATATGCACTAAAACAATTATTTTCAAATGACATACAGTATATCAGACAATGGCAAAAATGCAACAAAACTTAACATTATCTAGATACACACACATGCCAGGCATCAAGATCAATACACCTATATGGGCAGAATTCTGGTTGAGGTTACGCAACTAAACAAATTTGCCTTATATTCCACTATTACTTTTTTAGTACCTTTCATAAATAATTATTCACCAGTATGTTTAATGACTCAACACTGACAAATGTTGACCAATACTGTACTGCCACATAGAAAACATTATTATTTTTGTTCACACATTGTAGGAATTAAGCTAAACTTTCCCCTTATTTTATAAAAGCAAAAAAAAAATCAACATTGCATTATCTATTAGTGTTTTCCACCCACCATGAGACAAATCCTTCGTGCATCCATGCACATGCATTCATGCTCATGTTCTTATCTACACGTGCTTACAGGTAGATATGACTAGCTTCCTCTTCTCTTTAGGGTATTTAAGACAATAATACACAGTTCCCAATGACTGTCTTAAATTGCTTTACCTGTTAACTTAATTGGCTTAAACTACATCTTTCAATTGATTCTGCCTCAGTCATCTAGCTCAACTTTTCTGGAAGAGTCTGCACTCTTTAACTTTGTTTCGATTTATATCTACTGTTAGTCTTTCCTAACTATGAGCGATGTTAATGAAATTCACTATGAACATATTATAAAACTTCATTTAACACACGAACTATTATTGCTCCTTAAACTGCCGTAAGTTTTCACATTTTACACACTTTCAATTACTTTACAGTATCATGGCTAAATCTCTATCCTTGTCTATAATCATCCCCTGCTGTCCACTTTGCTATACTCTGTATTCTCTTTATCTTGCACTGAGCACTAACTAGTCCAAACGGCACACCAACTTCCTTACCTGCAAGGATCAGAGACAGACCTGGGAGTGGCAATAACATCAGAGCAACAGACTAACCAGAATCATATGCAAAAATTGGCAAAATAAGAACATTTAAAAATCATGCCATTCCTAGAAAACACAGTATCAGTGTCAAATCCCACCATCTGTCACTGTCACCCCCAGGGGCCACTAACTATCTTGCTTGCCCATGTTTAGCTACATGATAAGGCCTATGCATGTGCTCGCCACTCTTTCATGCGTTTTATTTCTAAAATACTTGTTGACAATTGCATTCTTTAAATTTTCAAAAGGTGCTGATGTTTTTCCTACTACCCTGGGTCTTCGATATAAATTTCTTCCTTATTACGAAATAAATATACAGGGTATTTGCTTTATTATTCTGATACTGTATTTACTATCTGACATATCTCTCTTGCCTAGTATTTATGTAATCTTTATAATCACACTGAGGTTTCTGGATGGTTTTATGTACTTGATTGTTGCCCACAATTGTAGCTTCCAGGGACCCATGTTCACTGTAACTTGGTAATTGTCCATGACAAATTCCAATTGTTGCTTCACATGTCTACATCTCGTTTTGTGTCGGTCAATCTTGACTAGTACTTTTATTTCCTAACATCCTTCAAAAAACATTTCAATATATTCATGCTTTCATTTATGGACACAATGAACATAGGTGGACCTCAATTTGGGATGGGATTAGTTCCTATTAAAAACTAAATACTGTAATCATAAATCCAACCTAAACATAATTGGGGAAATTGCAATTTAGATCCCCTAACAAAGTCCAAATTTTTCAACTCAATAAAATAGTTTTGAACTTTAAATATTTAATGCTTCCTCAATTTTAATGCTTCCTAAACACTTAATTAAGCCCAAAATTCATACAATGTGCAGTGTTAAGAATATTTCAAAATTAGTAAAATCTTAAGAGGTGTGAGAAAGCCGAGTACACTGCTGGGAATGAGGCAGAACTGCAGATTACCACAAAATATCTGCACTAATATGCTTTAACCTGTGCCTAACCTGTGAACCGTTGCAAAATTTACCCACACACTTATCTAACTTTGGTGTACCTTTTTTGGCATTGGACCCATATTCTGCAATGTTGCATTACTCGAGGGCTGCCTGTTAAGGTGCCAGCATAATTCCTTCCAAACAATATTTTTGACTACGCCAACGAAATACTTTACTGTGGTCTGGATAGAGAAAAGCCTTCATCCAAGCAAGAAGTGCACCCTTTACTACACCAAAGCGTTCCAATTTCTAAAAAAAGCTTGTCGTGATCATGAATGCATACATTGTACAGTACATATGCAACTGTTTACAAGCTTCCACAAAAGGTCAGCTCAGTTTTAGGGCAAGATTCCCAGTGTAATGCTCAAATTTCAGTTATTGATAGACAAAAAAAAATAAAATGATGGAGCCGTTAAACTTCCATACATCACTTTATTCATTTTAATATTGCAAAGCTTATTCAAATACTTAAAAAATTTCATTTATAATATTTATGATAATGTGCAAGTGTTCTTTGTAATGATTTTTTTTTTGCCAATTTTACAAATTTGCTGTATTTAAACTTTTCCCCCCAACTCCAATACCTCTAAGCTTCCACTCTAGCAAATATGAACTGTATTAGTAGCTATTGCAACTGCCAAATTCAAACGTGTGTTCACTCTGACCGTAAAAAACATGAAGCTTCTGAAAACTGGCATGCACAGTTTCAGCGATTTACAATCATCCATTACTTCAGTAATATTCATCATTACCCAGTTTCCCATTTGCAAAGGAAGTGGAGCCACTTGTCCAGAGAAGACAAAGAAACAATACAGGGCAAGAGAGTATTAGAGAGATGTTCATAATGACACCCATCTAGTAGAAAAAGCAGCATTCATGACAAAGGACCATAATATTAAATAAATAAAATATGATGCTTGTAACTCCTCCTGCACCTAACACGGTGTTTAAAGTAAGATACACAATAATCGAATGAAATTCCACGAGATAACGTATAAAATTATGTAATTTGAGTAATCTGGAAGCCAGCCCAACTGGATCCCCGGAACCTTGTTCTTCAGTTTAGCAAGTGATGTGAGCAATTTAGGACAGCATGACTAACAAATGGTTTACCTGGTATGTCTTTTTCCTAACAGGAAGGGCCTGAAATGGGAACAACTGCTGTAGGAAGGTGCTGATCTTCCACATTCATTTAAAAACATATTTGAGTAAAATTACCTCACGTGATTGATTAAACTGTACCCGGAAACATACAGAGCCAAATGTCTGCTGCTGACTTGGGAATCAATAATGACTGGGAAAATTACTTTTTACTTAAATTACCCCTCAAAGTTTTACTTAGATCATGTAAAGATTTCTATTAATCCCCCTTGCCTCTCGTTCACAAATCTTTAAGCACTAATTACATACAATCTGGGTACAAGAAAATATAAACAAACCCTTATTGTTTCAATGAAAAAAAGTAAATTAAAAAAAGAAAACTATGCCCTTTCAAAAGGAAAACCTGAATACTGTACATCCATTTCTTAAATAAAATTAATAATAAAAAAGAAACTCCAAATACACAACCAAAAATAAAAATCACATACATGCAGTGCTTCCCCACCCTCAAGCACCAAACACTGAATCAAGTTTCCCATCAGCTTTACAAATTGCATCAACTGCAAAAATAATAAATAAAAAATAAAAAAATAAATCATTGCACATACACGCATTCAGATACACACACACACAAACACAAGCACAGATACTCACCAATGCATCATCTACAACAACCTCGGGGAAAATTCTTCTTAGGACGGCACGAACCTTTGCTTTCTCCTCTTCCACTTCACCAGATGCCTCCTTCAGACAGAAAAAAATTATATTAATGCTGGCAAAGGTTACAAAGCGCCAATCATCATATCAACCATATTCTATTAAACCAACGTGCAAACTATATTTGGGGAAAACCTTACATAACCACTCACACCAATATTGCTTTCTGTAATTTTGTTCTACAATCCTTTCAGACAATTATGATATTTTTTGTAATGCCTGCTAAAATATAATAAATTAAAAACCACAATGCAGAGAAATAATAGAACAAATTTCAAGTCATTGCCCTTCTTCCTCCCCTCTCCTGTTTTCAATGGGTAGAGGCATCAGCCTCAAGAGAGGGGGGGGGGGGGAATAATGGCCACGAGGGAAGAAAAAAATTAAGTTTCTAGTAGAGTGAAGGAATGAAGTACAAGTACTTTAAGTTCCAACAAAAAAAGTGTAAAGTTTTATATTTAAATTTTCATGTGCTATACTAGCGAAAGCAGCATGCCACTCCACATAAGAGAACCACTAATGGCCTGGTAGCCTGGTGGATAGCGCGCAGGACTCGTAATTCTGTGGCGCGGGTTTGATTCCCGCACCAGGCAGGAACAAATGGGCAAAGTTTCTTTCACCCTGAATGCCCCGGTTACCTAGCAGTAAATAGGTACCTGGGAGTTAGTCAGCTGTCACGGGCTGCTTCCTGGGGGGGTGTGTGTGTATGTGGTGTGGAGAAAAAGAAAAAAAATGTAGTTAGTAAACAGTTGATTGACAGTTGAGAGGCAGGCCGAAAGAGCAAAGCTCAACCCCCACAAACAACTAGGTGAATACTAATGCAGCATTTCAACTTTATTCTGAACACAACTCTGGATCATACATTAGAAAAAAAAAAACAGATTTCATTGATAACTGAAAGGAGGCAATTTATCTTTACTCTTGAGGCTGGTTAAGAAAGAAAAATTAAACAAAAATTATTAAAAAATTTTTTACATATGATTAGAATTAGCCTAATTATCACTCTTGCAGAACCCCTAGTTATCTAGGAGGTCCATAGTCCCCAGGTTACGAACCCTTGCACTAGTAGACCCTGAAATATTAAGTTTATACGAAGTGAATCTGAGGAATATAACCAATTTCAAGGATCTAGTGACCCTGTCATTAGTGATGGGGACAGTGACATTGGCTTTCCTGGTGGTAACAGAGATATTTGTCTTCATGGGGGGAAAGTGGTGTCAGTCAAGTTCACGTGATGTCTCGGAGGACAAATCGAGAGATTTTCAACATGTTCTCGTGTCCACTGTATTCATGGAGCTCGTGCTAAACTGCCCAGTCAGTGTTGTTGGTTCACAGCCAAAAAAATCCAAGTTCAATTACCACACAGGACTGACATTTCAGCAAGTTTCCTTTTACACGATACCTCTAAACACCTAATAGTGAATAGGTACCCAAGAGTTAGGAAACTTCTTGTTTGTATCCTGGGAAATGGCCGTCACTGGCATAAGTAGATCTCAATAAGATTAACTGGTTTCCTGTTTCTGACAATGGGAACCACGTTGACAGCAATCAGCACCACTAGTCTCCTCCTTGGACAACTCACCACTTGGATTCTTCAAGAGTCAGAAAGAGAAAGACTTGGGGATTGATATCATGCCAGACCTGTCCCCTGAAGCCCATATCACGAGGATAACATCAGCGGCATATGCCAGGTTGGCTAATCTAAGAATGGCCTTCAAAAACTTGTGTAAGGAGTTATTCAGAACCTTGTATACCACACGTCAGACCAATCATGAAGTATGCGGCTCGAGCATGGAGTCCATATCTAGTCAAGCACAAGACTAAATTGGAGAAGGTTCAAAGGTTTGCCACCAGGCTAGTGCCCAAACCGAGAGGTACGAGCCACGAGGAGAGACTACGGAAACTAAACCTCACGCAGCTGGAAGACAGGAGTTAGGGGGAACATGATCACCACATACAAGATTCTCAAAGGAATTGATAGGGTAGATAAGGAAATGCTATTTAACACAAGGGGCACACGCACTAGGGGACACAGGTAGAAATTGAGTGCCTAAATGAGCCAGAGATATATTAGAAAGAACTTTTTTAGTGTCAGTGGTTGACAAATGGAATGCATTAGAAAGTGATGTGGTGGAGGCTGACTCCATACATACAGGTTTCTGAGCCCAGTAGGCTCAGGAACCTGTACATCAGTTGATTGACAGTCGAGTGGCGGGACCAAAGAACCAGAGCTCAACTCCCGCAAGCACAAATAGGCGAGTACTTAAGTTCTCACGCCAAAGTTTGCATACAACAAAATATGCACATTATTAAAGATCCTCTTGACTCCCAGTCTATGATATTTATTAAGTGACACCATTTGTATCAGGTATGAGAGCAAGCAAGTCTACACCTTCACTAATACGCAGGCACTAATTCTATTGATGCAAATTTGCTGTTGTCATACCTCCTGTCATTACAAAACCGTTATAAAGTTTAGTATTCACAAGTTTTTGTTTGGGGGAATAAAAGTGTGGATGGATTAATTAATATCTATAAAAACAGCTAGGCTGATGGATAAAAATTAAATGGACGCCCAATGCAAGGCTATTGGGAGTCTTTGAGAAGGATGTGACAATCTGCTTCTCTTGCAATCATATATACAAATTTTCATTAGGTATTTATGGATGCTCAAATTAAAAACTTCTCAAATTTCACTGTATGAGAACTTTAATCATTCTTTGACAGTTTATTGGGCAAGGTAAAGCATTTGTAAAAAGTTTTAAAATGTTTCAAACAGGTATTCATAGGACATGCTTACAATTGCTACCGAGCCATGATAACTAACGTAATTTTGATGTTAAAATACCTATAGTGTTACATTACTATTTGTGAATAAATGTAAATTAAGCAGATGCTAATTGATTGTACTGAAAAACTAGTTCGTGAAAATTATTATTACCCTCAACAGCCCGACAACTGAGAAAGGAAAGTGTTAGAAATATTAATAGAAATGCTAACAACATGAATAGAAATTATTATGCAGAGAAGGTGTCAGGAGTTAGTGAATATGAAGCAACCAATGTGGTACTGCAGTATTAGTGGTGCCAACATTATTCTATAAATTACCCAGTATCTTTCTTGTAAGTACTCTTATTTTATTTATTTCAATAATTAGGCTTTATTGAAATGACCGACTAGAATATTTTTCCACTTTTCAGTCCAAACTTATAAAGTATTTTACTCTACTACCTTCAAATATGCACAAATAAGTTTGAGTAACCAAATGCTGACAAATCTAAACATGATAATCATACAAAGCATATGATGGCCATACCAAGAAAAAAAAGAAATTTAAATACCCATACTGCAACGTTATCATGCTCACTCGCTACATTTTACATTGCCAAGCACCTTGTTGTAATTATATAAAACTTATATACTGCATTCTATATATATATATATATCCCAAGGACAAGAAAAGCACTATTAGCATGTTAGAAGAAATACTAAAATTGAAGACCAGCTAAAGGAGATTAACAACCTTCAGGCTCTATGTTCCTTAACCAGAAATGACAAATAAAAAACCCCAATACTAATTTTTACTATTAATATCATTCCATTAGTAAGCACTATTACAGTTTCACTTAAAATTAACTACAATTTCAAAATTTTAGAACGAGTCAACATATGATGCATACTAACAGAAACGATAACCGAAAACGTACATGTTTTCCTCATTCACAACACATTAACTCAACCATTTTATCTAAATGCAGAAAAAAAATCACCTCATTGATTAAATTTGTCCTTCACCTGAGAGTACCTCTAATATTTACTGCACTAGATAAATACTGTATGTAGCAAGTGAAGCTAGCTATACAAAACTTGCCCAGTTTTTTAAATATAATGTAGTATTTGAAACCAGGAATCAACCATGCATAACAAAAACCTGTAGGTTGTCTTAAATCTCAATTGGCGAATTCTATTTCTCATCAGACCTTGCAAAGCTTTCTTACTAACAGTAGAGCAGCACTTACATCCACCTGCTTGAGTCTAGCCATCAGTTTTTCCTCTGTGCTCGTTAAGGCCTCCAGGACTTTGTGGTTCTTTTCTCGTAACTCCTACAAGGCAGGGATTAACAACACACGTGTTAGACTTAAGGGAATCTAGTACTGGATCTCATTAATTATCAAGCTTGTTAATAAATATATGGGTATAGGCATTCCATTCAGTTATCCTCTTATGATAACTATACTGTATATAAAATTTGCAAATTGTATGAATTGTAATACAAATGTTTGAAACAATAGGTCAATGGATACAGAGTGGCCACACAAAGCTAAATCTCAGGTGTGAAAGCAATTCTAGGCTGCATCAGGTTGAAATCATACAGTGCCCTAAGAAGCCCACACAGTAAGACATTGCATGCACACCAGCCTAGGTCTGCTTGATGGGGGGGGGGGGATAAAGTCTCATGGGCACAGGCAATAGGAGCAACACTAAGAGGCAGAGGGAGACTTCTACACACAACCACATTGTGACCAAAATGTATTAAGCTCGCTCTTGGGATGTCTATTAGCCCGCAAAGTGAGCAAAGTAAAAATCAATCACGGTTAGTCATAATCTCTCCCTCATACAACAGGGGGCATAGACTCAAGCTTATCAGACAAAAACAAAAAAAAAAGTGTGCAAGTGCATAATACAAATCAAATTCTTCAGTCTAACAATAGTGATACAACATGCTAGAGGTTTTATTCTGCCCCACCAGAGGCAGGCTTATAAACTGGTTGAGAAGTGGTGTCGTCTACCAAGGCAGGTAAACCACTCCCAAAAAAGAAGCAGTAGGCTCACCATTTAAGTGATATCTTATAACAAAACTACAATGGATTACAATAGACTCAACATTTAGGAGCTCGGGTACACCACAAGACTTGTAACCTCAATTCCACTTACCAGTATTGAAAATCTTCTAAACACAAGGGAAAGTTTTCAAAGCTTATAAATAGGAAAAAGTGAAGACAACAGTACATCCAACATTAGGTGAAAAATACTAAGAAAATTAATCATTAAAAATTATACCTAACTTACAGCCATGCAAATTCCAAGAGTGTGTGTCAAGTAACAATTAAGTAATATGCTAAAGCACTGCTGGAACAAAATGTGGGGAAAAGTTACTCACATTGTTCTTCGCTCTTTGGCTCTCTAAATCTTCTTTTAGTCTCTTAATTTCTTTCTTCAAGTTTGCTACTTCAGACAACTGTTCTTCTATTAGGTTTTCTTTCTCCTTCACTCTGTAATGTCATTACTTATTATTTAATAATCCTAATGAAAAAACCTGAACACAGTATGATGTTCATGGAATCAATAGTTTTTTTATGACAACCATTTCAAATGTCAACACTGATTTCCAAACATTTCTGCCATAATGTAAAAAATAAAGTTTAATTCTTACAATGATTCTAGGTGGGCTGTGTCGGGCGCTGAGGTCGGTTCTGTATGTACATCCCCATTCTCTTGCCCTTCAGCAGCTGGACGGACGCTCTGTGATGCCAAAGACTCTTTCTCCTCCTTTAGTCGCTCAATCTGATGACAAGATCAAAACTTCTAAATTAAAAGTATGCAAGATAAAATCACTGGTTGTCAGTCACTATGTTATTGTTTGAAGTGGGCACACTCACAGGTATTGACATCATGGAAAAATGTGTGACGAATTTAAAGAGGATACATTGACCTTAAAATTACAATAATATAGCCTGTAGATGCAATACATTAAGAGATTGACATTTGTGTTTCAGGGGTAGTACCCAATTTGGTGTCTAAAGTAAACCACCACTTCAGTCACCCACTTTGTGAGAAAATGTTTAATCTTTGTTTGTGAACCCATTTAAAGGCTTAAATGGTAAGGCAACCAAGTTTATGAAAGTTTACCACATTACCACATTGCACAACTGTGTTTCTCTGTCAAAAGGCAATGTGGTAAAGCAGGAGAGGTCTTGTGAGCTCTACCTACACAAGCGGCTGAGTATTTCACTTCTCCATTTTAACAAATAATGGCTGGTGAAATGATTTGAGGATAAAACAGTCCCCGTGGCCTAGTTGGCAAGACACTTGCATGGCGTTTCGCGAGCAATTTGTCCTGGGGTTCGTATCCTGGCCGGGGAGGATTTACTGGCCGTCAATCCTTAACCGTAGCCTCTGTTTACCCAACAGTAAAATGGGTACACGGTTAGAAATTTTGTAATAAAAGCACATCAAAGTGCCACACACTACGTTGCCAATGGCACCTGACATGGCAAAAAATATCTCCCAATATACTACACACATTGCTAACTAACCAAAACACTGCTATTATCAGAATCCTGGTCACTAAATACTGAATATGAATAATTTTCCCCAGGTTTATTTTCCCAATAGGACACAAGGTCCATTTCATGACGCGTAGACATGCTAAAAGGCAGCAATGTGTTGTGGATGTCCGATTCTTGCTGTGAACACTGTAACCAGCATTGGGTTCACTGATGTCTAAACCTTTTATATAGTTTTTGTCAGTCAGGATTTATATGCCACAATCATTAAATAATTAGTTATTTATGTCATTATTAAACGATGCACAAGCTGCAAGGCAGTGCCGTGAGCTGCTGTTGCATGTACTACACATACAACAGCATTTTATTAATGGTAATAAAACAAAGGGTATTAAGGGTATTACCATTAAATCCCCAAAGTATTTTGAAAACAAACAAAAATGTCCACTTCAAAGCACCTTCATGCAAGACAATATTTGAAGGTGATAAATTGCATTAACTGGAGTTGATGAAACTTGTTTCAAATGCACTAAAAGACTGAAGTGTTACAAGTCCTACACAAACTGCAGCCCACTTTTCCTGCATGCATTGTCATTAAATGCAACCTGCAGGAATTCAATATACAGAGCAACTCTACAGTGTGACAATATTTAACATTTCTACAGGCTGCGGCTTGCACAGATACATTTCAAACCAAATTAAGTGTAAAAAGCCCAATTAAACCCTTTAAAGTCACAAAAAATATAATGACCGAGCTTACCTGAGTATTTTGGTCTAAAACCACTTGGCGTACACTACAAAGCTCAGATTCCACTTGAGTCAATCTCGAATCTACTTCGGTTTTCTCATGTGATATTTCCTGAAAAAAAATGCACAATAAGGTTCTGTATAATCCTCAATACATTAAGTCTAAAGGCAAATTAAATATTTACCTTGTTACTTTAAAATCTTCTGAAAAGTACATTAAACCTTTCCAACCACCTTAACCTTATAAACCCCCCCTATACGTACTATACTTGCAAATGCACTAGCCAATGTTGGGCTCAGTTGGTTTTAAAATCTGTTGCCAAACTATCTTGTGTACAAAGTGATTTATCCACAGTGCTTATATATTTCAAGAGGTTCATCATGAAAGTGCAAATAGGATGGTAATGAAAGTTTTGAAATTCCAAAATCGGATTACTCGTTTTAGCGTAATCCAAACACTTACAACAAATTACTGTACGCTAAATTACAATTAATTACTGTATGCTAAAACATGTTATTGTACCAGAATGCTAAAGGTTAATCCCAGGAATTAATAATGGAAGTATTAAGAATAAGAGTTAACGTGATTGAAGTATACACAAGGATAAAAGTGCAAGACAAATGAGATTAATACAGTGATAAATAAATCACCACAAAAGACAATACAAAACACAGTACATTAACGAATTCAATTGGGAAGGTAAGTTTCAGAAAAGACTGGTAAATACTGATTTGGAAATAAACTTGATTCATGGAACTGATTACAGAGTAACATAACACATGGAAGTCACTGGATTGCTTGCAGGCAAAGTTTAGGCATGCTGGTACTATATACGAGTTTGGAAAGTCACAAATGGGAGTTGCCTTGCATGGGTCAATAGGCCTTCTGCAGTTCCTTTATTCTTGTGTTATTTTTAAAATCACTGTACGATTCCCACACATCAACTAATCCATACTCTAATTCTACTGATACCATAAATATAAATTGCACAAATCTAAATTTGCATTCTCCAAACTCAAGCAGAGTCAGGGCTGCTTGTGTATACTGCTAGCTACAATTACAATACATACAACTAACTTGGGCTTTCTAGAGATTTAGTAAATATTACATCTTACCTGTAGTTTGTGCTGTAATTGTGCATATTTGGCTTTATCACCAGTTAGCTGTCCACTCAAGGCATTCCGATCTGCATCCATGGCTGCTAACTCTGCCAGAGCTTGAGCACGAGCTGCATCGGCACTTTGAAGCTGTGCTTGCAGCTCTGATAGCTGAGCATTTCTGGCTACTTCTTCCCCATTACGCTTATCTTCAAGAACTCTTATGTGCTCCTCATATTGTTGGCATCTTTGACTTAATTCTTCGTGTTCTTGTCGAAGCATTTTTGCCTGCATTTCAGCCTCGGTTAGTGATGCACGTAAAGTGGTCACTTCACTTTCATTACTGGTGCTCTGCAGTTGATCCAATAGCTGCTGCTGCTGCTGGAGCTTTGCTTGGTACTCTTGTTCCAAGGATGTGCGCAATTCATTCAAGCGTGCTGCCTGTGCCGACTGGGCACTAGCAGCCGCTGCCTCCTGTTGTCGAAGATAATTTGCAGCAGATTCATCCAACTGAGTCTTCAGCTTTGATGATTTGGATCGTTCTCCATGTAGTTCTGAGCACAGATCAGTAATCTTTGCAGAGAGGGCAGAGTGAGCTTCATCTTTATCACGCAAGCGATTTTCAACTTCCTCCAACTGCCTTTTCAACTGTGTGATAGGGTCCACTTTGCCTTTCTTTACCCAGTCACCTCCAGCATTGTTCTGCTGCTGCTTATTGAGAAGGACATCAATCAAGGTTTGGATCTCGTTACCAGACAGTGGGGCTCGCTGCACCATGGGAAGGAGCTTAGATTCACTCAAAGCTGTAAAAGAAAATATCACTGAGAACCATCATAAGCAAAAGTTTATAACAAAAATTTAACATTAAAATGGGTTTCCTAACTTTACTAATTACACTTTAAATGATCATTGTTTTTTTTATGTTGGGAATTAGGCTTTACTTATTTTCTCTAGAATGTGATCTACCAAATACTTTACATCTAGGTCTCCCAAATTATTGTTGCTTGCAAGGTGAACAGGCAAGAGCATAATCTATTATTATTGTTTTCAGTATTTAAGACCTTTATCGTTATTCCATCTTAGGAGTTTACTTCTCATACTTTCCTTTCAACTCTCCTTTAGTCTCCATTCACACACAAGATACATGTGCCTTGCTAAAGCTCTTGGTATCTCTCCATTTATCCACCTTTCTTCAGTGCATGACCTTTATTAATAAGCAAGAGACAACACAACAAACTGGAATAGGTGGAAATTGAAAACGACGAGCCAGAACTGTGTAAGAATTTCTTGTACAAAGAACCCTAGTGTAGCGAGCACTTACCAGTGTAGGGTTGCCTTCACCACATTCACCATTTCAAAACCAAGTACAGTATGAGACTACCAGATAGGAATGGAGGAAATATTAAAGTAGCATCTACGGTGTTCATCTTCACACACTATGCCATTGCCTGGCCTGTCCTCATGTCCACACCTACACTTCAAATATTTCACAAAAAGAATTATAGATTTCTGAAAAATAACTATTAAAAAAAAACAGCTCTCCTTCCAGGCATTTGTTTATCAATGGCCACACAAATTTTGCCAGAAATATGAACTTTGTGAGGAAAACCAACTTTAGAATGAGTGATGTATATAATGGTTTAGTAGGTCTACAGAACAGAAAACTCGTCAGCAGAGAAAGCAGGGATATCACCAGCAGACATTATTAAAGAATTAGTGACAAAGATTGCTGCCCGACAGGCATTTTCAATACAGTACTGCCGATAATTGTTCGTCATCTTTCAAATTTTATGGATCTTATCGATTTGCTTCAAATTAGGTAAAATCTGTTGTTTCGTCTAATATGTTTATGTATGTAAATTGTAAACCTCTTTAAATTTATACCATTTATTACGGATGTTCATGTTACCACTAGTATTACTACGAGACTTTTACAAATATACATCGCCACTCAAATCAGCGAGACTTCTCTCTTCATCTTGTCCCCCTTTCCTTTTAATCTACATTCTCAGCTATTTTTTGTTATATTTTATATCAAAACTGATAAAGATGTTGAAATGATATACTGCTGTAGTGTTTTACTTGTGTAATAACTGTGTACTGTACATTTATGGGAAGCTAGTGATTGATGAATTACTAGTATTTATCAAAAGGATGTCTTGCTTTTCAGCTGTATATCCCCTCCAAATGCCACAGATTTACACTCAAATTATTCTAACAGACAAGAATGGCTATAGACATACTTTACCCCAGCACCAAATTAGTAATTCCCAATAACTATCCTCGTGGTTCTTGCAATAGTGTAGTAAAGGTGCTGATAGCTCCATTTGTGAATAAGGACCACATTTTATATATGTAGACAACTATTATACCAGTCTCTTGCTAACTATGTTGCTACTTTAACTTTACACTGTGTGTGGGGTTAGTAAAGTAATTAAAGTCATGAAGGAAAGAAATGCCAGTGTTTGACCAAAGAATTTCAGATGGTGACCTAGTCAAAACAACATGAGAAAATGCAAGCGCTACATTTTCTCGACAGGTGCAACATTAACATGTTGTGAATACTGTACTGATGTTACACACGATGAAAGATATAAATTCCTCAAGTGACCAGTCCATAATGTAACTGAAAAAAAGATTTCAGTCACATTGAAAAAATACATCAACTTGTGTTACTTCCCACTGCACACCAACCCAGGGGAACCTTGGCTGGTTATCTCCAGAATGAACGCTCATAAATCGATGACGTTATCGTGAGATATGATCCCTTCATTACAGGCAAAGTAACTTGGGGTCGAGCTCAACTTACTGGTGATATCATTTTTCTGTTTCTCTTTTTTCTTCTTTTTGTCCTGGGGTGATGTAGGCTTCTCCACAAGAGCAACTGGAGCCACAGGAGTCACTGAAGCCACAGGACTCTCAACAGCTGCCTCTGTGACTACTACCTCCACAGCAACAACAGGTACCTCAACAACCTAGGAAATTTTAATAAAGTTTCTACAATATGCCTACAGTCCACACTTTACACATTTTATTTATCTATCAATTTCCAACTCAAATCCATAATCAAGATGAAAGAAAAACATTAAATTTTTGTTTGACATTCATATCTAGACCCTTCCACTGTTACATTTATCTAGTGGCTACCTTTTGTGTGCAGCTTTTATTGACATTTTTTAAATAAATTCATTACTGTAACAAAAAAAGAAAATTGAGGAGTTTGAGGAACGGTAACAATAAATCAATTAACCAGGCTCTTTGTGTACAATCAGTTGGAATGCCTCAGAAGGACAGATGTAATGTTAAAACATGATACAGGAATGTAAAATGTATTGCAAATATCTTCAAAAAGGTCAAACATGGGTACCTTTTTATGTCCATAGAATTCCTTTCACTTTTGCAACTAGTACTTTATTTTTTATAAATAAAAACTTATCCTCCCACAAACAAATGAACACATTCAAAACATTAAAACACACATTTAACTTACAACTTCTTTGGCCTCCTTGACGGGGGGCAAGGATGCAGGCTCTGGAGCAGCCTCAACCCTCACTGCCTCTGTCTTGATGGTGATAGTCTCCTGAACTTCCTCCACTACTATCTTCCTGGGAGCATCTTCTACCTCTCGTTCCTTTTCTTTCTTCTTTTTCTTTTCCTTCTTCTTCTCATGCATCAAAATTAAACAACAATTAGAAAAGTCTACACTGATTAAATGCACTTTTGAATGTAGCCACTTCAGAGTTATCCTTGTTAGTCCATTTTTAATCTGCATACTAGATCTCCAAAATTCATAAGAACACTTAAATTTTGAACAAGTGCTCATCTGCATTACTCTGAATCCAGTCATTATCAATAAATGGAAAGCAAGGACATACCATATTTATTATTGGCCTCAAGTCAAAAGACAACAAAAAATTAAGTCAATCAAGTGTTAAAAATTACCTGGGTAGGCTGGGTTGGAGGTTCATTTTCTACGGGTGGTGGTGGTGGGGGTGGCGGCATTGGCTTGGGCTTGGGCTCAGGCTCGGGCTCGACCTCCACCTCTTGTACTGCCGTAGCACCCACGGATTCTGGATCATCCTTTTTCCCTTTTACTTTCTTGACCTATAAGATGTACATATATGTTATTAGCCATATTAAAATACAATGTATAGCACTGCAATTAGTATGAGTTTTGCCTCTAAGGTCAAGTGCTAAGGCATCTGTATCATTCAGCACTATGTTGCTAAGTAACCGTGTAAATACCTTAAAATCTCCCAATTCCCAATATTTTTCTGAAAACTTGCAACATATGCTATACATTTGATAACTGGCCATTTATCTACCACAACTTAATTTGAAATTCCTTTTTTATTTTTAGGAAGAGGAAGGTGGTTTAGCAGCTTACCTGTTGATTTCAAGGTTCAACATCAAGGCCTGGCATCTGACCAATCTTGTATTCACTGATTACACCATCTGACAAGTTATCTTACTCCTCTCTAACGACTTTAACAAATCATTGGTGTGAAGTTAGTCATACCTTTAACTAAAAATCAACACTTGCAATTTCAAACTAACCTTAGATTATCAAAGAGGGCTGCCCCACTCACCTTTGGTTTCTTGTGCTGCTTATCGGCCTTAGTTTGTGCATTATCTTGGTCGCGTTTTTGCCGTTGTTCTGCTATAGCCTCTTCAAATGGAGTTTCTTTTGTGCCCAGGGTGGCCAGCAAGTACACCACCATTGTCAACACCAGCACCACACCTCCAAGAACTAAAATGTCCATGATGTCTTCTTACCAACACCACTGTAAAGAGTACTGTAAGTAGAATATTAATTAGAAACAGTACTGTACAGTATACACAAGAATAATGCAAAAGACATATTGACCCATATGAATTTGCTCCTATTTATATCCACACCAACACATTCATATACTGCATAGCTTGTGTAACCTAGCCTTGAAACTTGCTGTGCCATCAGACATCTTGTGTTACTCAATAACTTTTCCCATAAATCAATCCTAATATCTACCCAGTTCTTTCCTGAATCTAAGCTTATCGAGTTTATATCTATTGTCTCGCGTTTGATTTTGTGCCAAAATGTTTAAACTGTAATTTACCGTACTTCCTTTTTGTTATACCCTTTCATCCATTTATACAGTACTGTACTGTACAGTACTTCAATAGTGTCACCAAACTACTACTTTCTAATGAATGTAAATCAGCTTTTCAAATCTTGTCATAAGGGGGTTGTTTAATTCCACGAATTAACTGTTAAGTTTTCAAGGGAATTTACACCCATTCTATAATGCAGCCACCAAAACATGTTAATAAAAATCGTTTATAAGCTTAAATACTGCACAGTACTGTACAGAATAATTATGTACTCTATAAAAAATATGCTATCTATCATTGCTTAAACAAGTTTTGGCCCCATGATCTAACTACAACACTTAATTTGAACTTGGAAACTCTTTGAAGCACAGGGTTCAGCCCCTGTCCACCTAGTTGTAAATAGTTACCCAGGAGTTAGTCCGGCTCGCTGTGGGAGTTGCATCTGAGGGGGGGGGGGGGGAAGTCAGTAATTCGACCCTGGATGGGGGAACCACAGAATAAGTCTAACACGTACTGTATGTATACCTGTCCCCCGTCACGAATTATTATATTATGACAGCCACCAGCAGTAACTAACCTCTACTGAAAAGGCTTAACATCTTTACTTTCATTGTTAGCCGAGACCATTCCTCACAGATTGGTCTAGGCTTGAGAGATTCCTGTGAATCACACAGGAATTGTGATTCCTCTCAATTCTCGGAGGAATCTACAGTAGATAAAGATATTGTTCAACACGGGTGGTACATGAACAAGGTGACACAGGTGGAAATGAGTATCCAAATGAGCCACAGGGATGTTAGAAAGAACTTTTTGAAGTGTCAGAGTAGTTAACAGATAGACTGCATTAGGCAGTGATGTGGTGGAGGCAGATTTTGGGCAGGGAATCGGCCCTGGCCACCCCCACAGCCGCGCAAACCGGCCCTGGCCACCCCCACAGCCGCGCAAACCGGCCCTGGCCACCCCCACAACCGCGCAAACCGGCCCTGGCCACCCCCACAGCCGCGCAAACCGGCCCTGGCCACCCCCACAGCCGTGCAAACCGGCCCTGGCCACCCCCACAGCCGCGCAAACCGGCCCTGGCCACCCCCACAGCCGCGCAAACCGGCCCTGGCCACCCCCACAGCCGCGCGAACCTGCCCTGGCCACCCCCACAGCCGTGCAAACCGGCCCTGGCCACCCCCACATCTACGGGAACCTGTCCCTGGCCACCCCACACTTGTGGGAGAACCTGTTCCTGACCAGCCCACATCCGCGGGAACCATCACTGACCGGCCCCACAACCGCGGGAACCATCCCTGACCGGCCCCACAACCGCGGGAACCATCCCTGACCGGCCCCACAACCGCGGGAACCATCCCTGACCGGCCCCACAACCGCGGGAACCATCCCTGACCGGCCCCACACCCGCGGGAACCATCCCTGACCGGCCCACACCCGCGGGAACCATCCCTGACCGACCCACACCCGCGGGAACCATCCCTGACCGACCCACACCCGCGGGAACCATCCCTGACCGGCCCACACCCGCGGGAACCATCCCTGACCGGCCCACAGCTGCGGGAACCATCCCTGACCGGCCCACAGCTGCGGGAACCATCCCTGACCGGCCCACATCTGCGGGAACCATCCCTGACCGGCCCACAGCTGCGGGAACCATCCCTGACCGGCCCACACCTGCAGGAACCATCCCTGACCGGCCCACACCTGCGGGAACCATCCCTGACCGGCCCACACCTGCGGGAACCATCCCTGACCGGCCCACAGCTGCGGGAACCATCCCTGACCGGCCCACAGCTGCGGGAACCATCCCTGACCGGCCCACAGCTGCGGGAACCATCCCTGACCGGCCCACAGCTGCGGGAACCATCTCTGACCGGCCCACAGCTGCAGGAACCATCCCTGACTGGCCCACAGCTGCGGGAACCATCCCTGACCGGCCCACACCTGCAGGAACCATCCCTGACCGGCCCACACCTGCAGGAACCATTCCTGACCAGCCCACACCCGCAAGAACCATCCCTGACCAGCCCACACCTGGAGGAGCCATCCTTGACCGGCCCACACCTGCAGGAACCATCCCTGACCGGCCCACACCTACGGGAACCATCCCTGACCGGCCCACACCTACGGGAACCATCCCTGACCGGCCCACACCCGCAGGAACCATCCCTGACCGGCCCACACCCGCAGGAACCATCCCTGACTGGCCCACATATGCAGGAACCATCCCTGACCGGCCCACACCCGCAAGAACCATCCCTGACCGGCCCACACCCGCAAGAACCATCCCTGACCGGCCCACACCCGCAAGAACCACCCCTGACCGGCCCACACCTGCAGGAACCATCCCTGACCGGCCCACATCTGCCAACCCAACACACCAAACGTCAACAAACCGACAAGCACAGCTTGCAGGCGCGTGTCACCCCCACACACGCCGCCAAGCACAGCTGGCCCTGACACCTGCCAGTGCCCAGCGGCCGCGCCAGTGTGGCTGACGAGCAAAACACAAAACAGCGTCAGGTTTGGAAGGGTCTTTAAATGAGTTTGACAGGCCGGTGGTAGGAGGTGTCAACTTGGCCCACCACCACCCACAGATTGACAGAGTTTCTCCTTCACTGTGACGAGACTCGCGCCTCCTGGGTAGCCAGGCCTCATGCCCTGGCCTTACTTACCTCGCTGATACACGTAGAGGGGGGTTATGTGAGGTAGGCGAGGCAATAATAACAAGGAGGGGTAAGAGAGAGAGAGAGAGAGTGGGCCGCTCCCTCCCCTGCCTCACTGAGAGCACTGGCCCACCCGGCATGCAACACCTCCCACCATTGGCCCACAGCCTCGCATGCAGCACCGACACATCACGGAGCACAACTCCTCTATCTCACTCATTTCATCTCAATCCCAGAATGATTTATAAATCTCTTTATTTATTTTGATCTATATTATGATGCTTTCTTCCGGTGTGAGGTATATAGGGCTAAGCTCTGTTGTTGTAGATGGTTGTAATGGACGTTGCTCCGTAGTGGCGCCTCTAGTGGCATGGCTGTTCCGGCCGGCATGTTCCTCCCCTGCCACGTAGCCGCCATGGCAACTCCAAACAAACACCTAACGCGCCGGAATCAAGAGTCTTTCTCATACATGTATCTTTTTAACAACTCATTTTAACCCCCTTTCATGCATCAATTAAACACGCTTGCTTACTCTTAAGCCGACATTTCTACCTCATATGAACGGTCGCAATTGCGTGAAAAAAGTTAACCCTCTTATAGTTAAAAAGTTTTGGGAATGAAATCAAATATATAATTACATATTTAACCATGTAACTAGGGTTTTTAAATAACATTTTTTAATTTTTGGTTATTTGTGGCAGCTTGCGGTACGGTAGAACTCTCAAATAGTGAGTGCTCCCTCCATCAGCTAGGCTGACCGCTATATATACCCCATCAAGCCCCATTTTAACTCTAAATTTCATAATGAAACGAAGTCAGAAATCTTTGGCCAGCATTGTGAAGGATGTGGAGACCATCATGGTGGACATAGAGGGCACGACGACTTCCATTAGCTTCGTGAAGGTGAGTTTAGTGGGATGCGAACCCCGGCGGACAACAGGTGCCGGGGGAGGAGGCGGAACACCCGGGCCCCCATGACGTAATCTCGCTCCAGTTACGGTTTTTGGGGGAGATTCTCCAGCCGGAGGGTCGTGCCCGACCCGGGGGCACGTGCCCCGACCCGGGGGTGTTGTATGGGTCGGGCATTACAAGTGTGTGTGTCCATCATATAGGAGGGTGACGTCATGATGGTGATAGACCCGGATACACTGACCCAGTGTATGTGTATATGATCATGTCTCCTGCTCGCTCACTCACGCCTTACTCACCATCACCACTCACTCCTCACTCACCACCACCACCACATATTCCTCATTCACCACTTACTCATCACTAACCACCACACATTCATCACTAACCATTCATCACTAACCACCACACACACTCATCACTAACCACCACACACACTCATCACTAACCACCACACTCATCACTAACCACCACACACACTCATCACTAACCACCACACTCATCACTAACCACCACACTCATCACTAACCACCACACTCATCACTAACCACCACACTCATCACTAACCACCACACTCATCACTAACCACTCATCCACACTCATCACTAACCACCACACTCATCACTACCACCACCACACTCATCACTAACCACCACCACACTCATCACTAACCACCACACTCATCACTAACCACCACACACACTCATCACTAACCACCACCACATCACTCATCACTCACCACCACCACACACACTCATCACTAACCACCACCACACACACTCATCACTAACCACCACACACACTCATCACTAACCACCACACACACTCATCACTAACCACCACACACACTCATCACTAACCACCACACACACTCATCACTAACCACCACACACACTCATCACTAACCACCACACACTCATCACTCATCACTAACCACCACATACTCATCACTAACCACCACACACTCATCACACTCATCACTAACCACCCACACACTCATCACTAACCACCACCACACACACTCATCACTAACCACCACCACACACTCATCACTAACCACCACACACTCATCACTAACCACCACACAGTGTATTCACATTTGAGTATCTACAATCAATAAGTCACAATAACCTGTCTGAAAATTAGACAACCTCAACTCTGAACATAAGGAAAGTTCCCACATTTGGGTCCAAGACAGACCGAAACTTTGGCAGTTCCTTAATTTTTCAGAGTCATGAGTTGTGTGTCTAATTATATTATCTAGTGGAAATAAAAATAGCCTGCTCATAGAAGGGAGCAGTAAGCAAGGAATACCGAAGGGGGAAATTACGAAGAGATGAGAAAATTCCTGATGGAAATACCATGGGGAAACAGAACTCGGAAGAAAGACTACAAAAACGCAATGGAGTACATCACACAGATGCCAGGATTGCCGGAACAACCCTGGACATCTTCAAGAGAAAACTGGACTGTTTTCTAAGAGAAGTTCCGGATCAGCCGGGCTGTGGTGGGTATGTGGGCCTGCTGCAGGCCGCTCCAAGCAACAGCCTGGTGGACCAAACTCTCACAAGTCGAGCCTGGCCTCGGGCCGGGCTTGGGGAGTAGAAGAACTCCCAGAACCCCATCAAGCAGGCAGACAATATTTTCCTGGTCCATAAGGAAAATAATCAATTGCAACTGAACCCATGGTTGAATTAGGATAGATGTTAAGAGGTAAAACAAAGTGCAAGAACATGGTTGACACAACAGAAATGATGTGACGACTTATATTTAATTTTGTAACTAGCTCATCAAGATTGTAACTTGCTTAGCTAAATGAATTGTGGGGTTCAGTCCCTGAGCCCATTATGTGCCTCTGTAACCCTTTCCACTACCGCCCACAAGATGGGTATGGGGTGCATAATAAATGAACTAAACTAACTAACACTACAGAAATAAGAGAACACAGGAGGAAGATACTGTAACAATAAAGAGGGACCGAGGGAGACTATTGCCCCCAGGGTATGGGACTGTGTAACACGTCTGAACAACCATCATGTTGGCAAAGTTTACCACCAGGTATGAGACGAGGTGTTCCAGTCACTGCCGCCTCGGCCGGAACAATATATAGGCCTATATCACTATTGAGATACACACTGCAAGGTGACAAGTTGCAAAGGCGGGCTCTGGGTCTCTGCCATCCAGTGTTGGGGGGATGGGGGTAGGTTCCTCTCTTGGAGAACAGCCATTCGCTGTAAGACCACGCCCAAGAGCACTGACCGGGGCATTGGTCATGTATGGGCAAGGTAGGCCTAGCTTTGTTCTGCCTGGCGATAGGTTCCAAGTGGTACCAAGGGCTGGAATTTTCAAGGAGCACAAGTCCGAGAGTAGAATTAGTAGTTAGTGCGAATTTGGTGTCAAGTAAATGAGGGAGTGTTTTCCTTACAGATAGCAGGTCTAGCAGCAGACCTGGGTTTACAACTGTGCGAGAGAATGGTGTTCTCTCAGCTAATCATGGCTGCTGTGCTGAGTAATGCTGTGCATTCAGCCTGTGTAATCGCCAATATTCAAGGTCACAAGTACAACTCAGAGTGGCATCATGTCACCAGTGGAGTCCCAGAGGGTTCAGTACTAGGGCCTATCCTGTTTCTCATATACGTAAATGATTTTCCAGAGGGAATAGAATCATTCCTCTCAATTTTTGCTGATGTTAAAATTATGAGAAGGATTAAGACAGAGGAAGACATCAAATGACTACAAGACTACCTGGAGTGATCCAACAAATGGTTACTACAATCTAACTCAAGCAAGTGTAATGAAAATAGTTGAATGGAGCAGGAAGACTGCATGATCAATCCCTAACCCAGTCACGGAGGGAGACTGCATGATTCTAGCAGTAACAGTCACGGCTGAAAACGGCTAGGTATAACTGTGAAGAGAATGATTGGCCTACATAGCAGCCCACACCTTTACACGGAAGACGGAAATGCCACTCTGAGCTCTCTGACCTTCACGTCTTTCGATCTATATTGTATATTGATTCAATCCTCAGTGTTACCTGCTTTATTATTGTTAATATTTAATGTAGTGCTGCAACCTTAAGTTTATTATTATGTCTCGCTACGTGAACCTGTTTATAATTTATACTAAGAAACTGCTTTATGCACGGTTCCATGTTCGTGTTTGTCCGTTTTTTTGTTTTATTATTTAGTTTATTTTCTTCCACGGACGCGGCTTTTCATTTACTTTACTAACCAGCATAATCACATTTTCTTCTGTCCTGTATAGACAGGATTAGAGGTCTGTTCTCGATATATTGTGCTGTGGAGCACTCGCCTACAGAAGATATAAAAGGCACACTTTCGGTCTCCGACATATTTGGGCAACTAAATAATTGATTCACCTCGTCGTGTACCGTGTTTGGTAGGTGCAGGCGAGTTGATAGCTCATACGTGTTGAAGCTCACCCTGTATCATGGTGTTCCATCACCATCTGAACATGACGCTTGAGGTAGGCGTATGTTGACGCTGAAGTGTTGCGCTCCATTCCAAGATGGCGGGAACATTAATATGGCAGTGTTGGTCGAGTGTGAGGATGAAGGGGCCACACTGTGATCTCTCGCACACTACGTATACCCCGGACATTTACTCCTATACAATTTATTATGTATAACAACTACCATGAGAACGCATCATGTAAACCCAAAACTGCATTGAAGTGAAAACCTCGGGTTGGTTTGTATGTGATCGGCAGCCCGTCCTCCGTGATCGCCATGCCCGTGGGCTGGCGTTGGGGGGCGTCGACCTCCTGCTGGCGGCGGGGTGCCCTGGCGTTATCATCTCTCCTAGTTCATTCACACATCTCAGGCCACCATTGAGACTTACCCACTTAGACTTCCCTCGTCTTCGTCAATTTGTAGGCTGGCAACTTTCTGACGTGTATTGCATTGCAATGTGGTCATATCTGAGGCTACATTTGTTGTTCACGGTCCATTCATGCTTTGGAAGTCGTGTTCATGTCCTACTAGGCCAGTGTTTATGAGGGTCTCGGGTGTAAATGTGATTGGAAATATCTTAGTGGAAGCGAGTTCGGAGCAGGATTGTGTCTGCCACATACCTTCTTGGAGCGTATATTCATACACAGGTATACATGGGGACAGGGGAAGTAGGTGAAATGGAAGAGTTTGATTATATGTATTAATAGATGATGTGAAAGTAGTGTGACAAGTGCGAGGGGTCGTGAGAGAGGATGGTGTGTGTGTGTGTTGAAGAAGGCGGTGTTCGGAAAGAGGATGTCACGTCTCCAAATAAACCACAAGAGGCTGTACAAGAAATGATATAGTGTCGAGAAAATGAACTACAGTACTGTACAAACATCAGACGATAGAAAGTGATACGACACTAAATATGTGAGTGGAATGAGACGAAGGTGAGGCAGCCGTGTGGGGGTTGTAAGGTGGAAAGTGAAGGTAAGTGAGGCGTTGCTGACTGACACTGTCAAGGAGGCTCTTGAGGGATGTGATTGATTGATTGATGAAGATTAAGCCACCCAAAAGGTGGCACGGGCATGAATAGCCCGTAAGTGGTGGCCCATTTGAGCCATTACCAGTATCAAGAGCTGATACTGGAGATCTGTGGAGGTGCGACTGCACCCTGCCTGACAGGAGATGTCTCCCGTGAGGGATGTGATGCATGGACAATGTTGATAAAGGAAGATGTGCCGAGTAATGCGAGAAGAATAGTGAAATATAACAATTGTCAATTGTTTGTAAGGGAATTGAATTGGGATAAAAAAAAAAAGATAGAGGATGAGAAAATTGAGAGAGAGCTTCGTGATCAATAAGGTATATTTAACATGAACGTTTAGATACAGTAGTAGTGAGAACAAAGGAAGTTACCCAGTGAAGGATGCTGGAGAAGTGTTGAGAGAGGCGTGTGATGCTACCAACACCACCAGTCAATATTTGATGAGCATATCTGTACAAATGTTGAAGAAATACTCACATGCTTTCAAATGGAGTGAGTTGGTGGTAGAAACATGGGTGCAACACACGAGGAGAGGGAGTCAGTATATTTGTAAAACTGCGAATACAGTATAGAGAAGAAGGACCCCCTGGTATAGATGAACTTACTGCAGGTACAGTGAGGCACACGAGTGAGGTGATAGTGGACATGTTATATGGGCATCTTCAAGAGAAAACTAGATCATTTCCCCCAAGGAGTGCCGTGGTGGGTATGTGGGCCTGCGGGCCGCTCCAAGCAACAGCCTGGTGGACCAAACTCTCACAAGTCAAGCCTGGCCTCGGGCCGGGCTTGGGGAGTAGAAGAACTTTCAGAACCCCATCAAACAAGTATGCATGTTCCTGTGTCACAAGGTTGAGGTCCTCAGCACTGGGTAAAGGTCATATAGTCTATATATATAAGAGAAAGGGAAGCAATATGTGAAGCTTAGGGGGGATTAGTTTACTTAACATGGGATGAAAAGTACAAATTGAGAGAGCTAACAAAGTAGAATAGGGGGAGGAAGAGGGTGGACTTAAGACGGGAGGATAAATTGCGGCCATTGACAGGTGTATGCAGATAATGTGGTGTCCTCGGGCCAGAGTGATGAGGAATGGCTCAAGATTGTCACTCAAGTTGAGAGTGAGTGCAATAGAAAAAAAGTTAAAGTAAAGAAAGAAGTCAGTAAAGACAAAATTAGATTATGGTGTTTGAAGGAAGGGAACGTGATGTGGATTTTGTAGATCTTCATAGAATGACAAGACGGCGACTCTAACTGTAGGTTAATAGTTAGTGAAGAGATACAGCAAGATTGAATACGTTTATGTACTTAGGGGCCAGTGTTAAAGATGTGTGGAAGATGAAACAAGAGATGATAATGAGTGGAAGAGTGATAGAGGTGAATAGTATAATGAAGGGAATAAAATAATGTTAGAAAGCCACAGCAACTACAATGGTTAAAAAAGCAGTTGAGGAATGGGATACCCTAGTGAACACTGTGCATCTATATCCACCACCAAGATAATGTTATTAAAACAAGACTAAAACCAGCGCACTAAAACAGAATCGAAAAAGAAACGGGGAGGGAGGAAGAAACCCCACCTCCATATAAAACTTTAACCCAAATATCACAGTAACAAGATTATCGCGAATAACCGAACTCAATTACGGGCTCACCATAGCCCGTGCTACATGGACTTTTAATTCTGAGTAGCTAAATCTGTAACAACAACAACAACATGTTAGAATAGGTATTAAGAAGGGCCAGAATGGCAAGTGTAAATCACCCAATTCAACGTGTCTCCTTATTATGCACCCCATACCCATCCCGTGGGCGGTGGTGGAAAGGGTTATAATTGAGTGAAAATGATTTTATCTTTAGAAAAAGGTATTTATTTATTGATATACAAGATATATACATCAATATGTATATATTGATATACAACATTGGGTTTATAAGAGTATATAGCATTGGTGTTTTTACATTAATGTAAAGCCACTAGTAAAGTTGGTGTAAGTAGGCCTATATAATTGGTATAACAATGAGGAAGTATTGATGAAGTGTAGCACATAAGTAGTTAGTAAACAGTTGATTGACAGTTGAGAGGCGGGCCGAAAGAGCAAAGCTCAACCCCCGCAAACACAACTAGGTGAATACTAGAAATACTAAAATACTAGGTGAATACCGAGGTTGTACCTGTCAATACAATGCCTGACAACTGCTTAATGTGAATGGTGTATAATAGTGAGACCATATAGCAGGGGGCACGGCACCCCTATCTTGGAAGGGGAGGAAGAATGAAACAATACAAGACAGTAAGGGACAGGGAGAGACTGAAGGGTGAAAGGAGTGTGGGGGGTGATAAGTCTCCTGGAGAAACTTGGTCAGCGTCACCCCTGTTATCTTCCACGGGCTCACCATAGCCCGTGCTACATGGACACTACGTTCTGAGTAGCTAAATCTAAAAAACACCAACAGCTACCCCTGACGGGAGGGAGGGAGGGCGGCCCCAGCTAGACTACAGATACATATCAACCTAAGGCTGGGTCAGGTCTCCTGAGAAGAACACCATTATCGCAGCACAATGGTAATTGTTCCCCTCTTAACCTTGTACATGAGCCAGATACCTCTTATGGTTGACGTGGTTCATCACCGACCACTACCAACACTTGCATCAGTACAGCAACAACCAGGGGGAGGGGGGGGACTTGTCGCACTACTCACCACTATTAGTAGTGGTATTACTAGTGGAGGTTTTTTTCATCTTTGTCTTAGTGTTGGCTGAATGGAGTGAGTGAGTGAGTGCGTAATATTCGGCCGGATACGCCCAGTAGTAGAGCACCGGAAGCTGAGCATTAAGTGTTCAGTAACTCAGTAAACAGCTGCTGTTGTGCACAGGCTGCCTGCTCCTCTCCCCCCTCCCCCCCTGCCCCAGACAAAGTCCCCCCAATCACCCCCACACACCCCACTATCACCCCCCACCTCTCCCCCGAGCCACAGGTGTACCACGCCTGCCGGCCACCCAGTACTTCACACCCGTCACGGGTAACCTGTCTTTACGGGCTATTCATGCCCGCGCCACCTTTTGGGTTGGCTTAATCTTCATCAATAACCCGTCTGCAATATGGTATTTTCAGGCCACCAAGTTAGACAGGTTAAATATCCCAAAAAGGAATCCACAGGGAAATAGCAGTTCGGTTATATAGACTACGTCTGGGTTACAGATGCAACTGGGAGATTAGTGAACCCAGACAGAGTGCATCTTCTGCCAAACACAGAAAAGCCACTACTTCACTATCTCCTGGAATGTGAAGCAACCAACGACCTTAGAAGAGCTTTAAGAGTCCCTGAATCTTGCAGTAACCAGCCTGAAGCCATCAACACTGCCTCTCTTCTGGTCAAAAAAGGTGTCCAGCAGCTGGAGACCCTCAAACACTATCAAGCACTATCCTCCGCCACGATAGCAGCCATATAGTAATGACTGACGATTTAACTGTGAGCTCAACACACAGTATATCCTTTCACGACCAAAGGTCACATTCACTCTGAAAGAAAGCTACCACTATCGGGCTATTCATGCCCGTGCCACCGCTTGGGTGGCTTGTAGAAGATGAGCATGAAGATGTTCATCTTCATCAATCAATCAAATTACCGGCATTTAAGTCTAGGAAATGTTATTGTTACTTGTTTATTGTGTACTAGAACATTGTCAGCCCCCCCCCCTGTGCTTGTACTCACCTAGTTGTGCTTGCAGGGTAGAGCATCTGCTCTTAAGCCCCACCTTTCGACCCTTAAGTCAGTGCAGCATCTCTCTCTCTCACCGAGGAGGTTTCACCGATATATATATATATATATATATATATATATATATATATATATATATATATATATATATATATATATATATATATATATATATATATATATATATATATGAGTGAGTGAGTGTGGGTGTTGCAGGAGGTGCTGTTCCCGTATGTGCGGCGAGAGATCACCACCCACTTGCGCGACACTTGGGACACCCATCACACCCGCCATGACGTCGCTGCTCTTAAACAACAAGTAAGGATCCTACCATGTTTACTGCCTTCTCTTCCAGCCTGCCTGCCTGTCTGTCTGTCTGTGTCTGCCTGCCTCTGCCTCCCTGCCTGTCTGCCTCCCTGCCTGCCTGTCCCTGCCTCCCTGTCTGCCTGCCTCCCTGCTGCCTGCCTCCCTGCCTGCCTGCTTGCCTGCCTGCCTGCCTGCCTGCCTGCCTTCCTCCTGCCTGCCTGCCCGCCCGCCTGCCTGCCTGCCTCCCTGCCTCCCTGCCTGCCTGCCTGCCTGCCTGCCTGCTTCCCTGCTGCCTCCCTGCCTCCCTGCCTGCTTCCCTGCCTCCCTGCCTGCCTGCCTCCCTGCCTCCCTGCCTGCCTGCTTCCCTGCCTCCCTGCCTGCCTGCCTCCCTGCTTCCCTGCCTGCCTGCCTGCCTGCTTCCCTGCCTGCCTGCCTCCCTGCTTCCCTGCCTGCCTGCCTCCCTGCTTCCCTGCCTGCCTGCCTGCCTGCCTCCCTGCCTGCCTGCCTCCCTGCTTCCCTGTCTGCCTGCCTGCCTGCTTCTCTGCCTGCCTGCCTGCCTGCCTCCCTGCCTGCCTGCCTGCCTGCCTGTCTCCCTGCCCGCCTGCCACGGCCATGACATTCTCTGGTGCATGAATACTGCATTATCTTCTCTCTCAGTCTCCCCTTTCTTCCTCCTTCTCATGCCACCCTCCTTTTCTTCTTCTGTATCTCCTCCTCCTCACAGTCTCGGTCTCCTGCAGTCGTCAAGGCCACCAGCAGTGTGCCCCGAGGGTTGTTCCCTTGGCAATCATCTTGGCCAAAATCATTCTCTCCTCTACCGATAATAAGAGCCGCGCGCGCGTGTGTGTGTGTGTGTGTGTGTGTGTGTGTGTGTGTGTACACGTGTGTGTGTGTGTGTGTGTACACGTGTGTGTGTGTGTGTGTGTGTGTGTGTGTAATGTGTGTGTGTGTGTGTACACGTGTGTGTGTGTGTGTGTGTGTGTGTGTACACGTGTGTGTGTGTACTCACCCAGTCATGCTTGTGGGGGTCGAGCTTCGGCTCTTTGGTCCCAGTTTCTCAATCGTTAATCAACACTCGTAAGATTCCTGAGCCTATTGGGCTCTATCATATCTACATTTGAAACTATGTATGGAGACCGGCTCTATCGCATCAGTGTCTAATATATTCCACTTAACTACTCTAAAAAGAACTTTTTTCAGTGTTAGTGTCTCTATGGCTGTTTTGGGTACTCAGTTGCTACCCGTGTCCCCAATATGCGTGTACCACCTGTGTTAAATAAACCGTGTTTACCTACTCAATCAATTCCACTGAGAATCGTGTATATGGTGATCATGGTTCCCCTAACTCTTCTCTCAGCGACGTGAAGATCTCTTGAAATCTCTTATTGGGTTCCTCACACACTTCTTTGTCATTCTCTGTGTACATGTCCTCACCCGTTCTCGGTTTCATCGTCATAGGCTCACCTGATATCCCATCATCATAGGCTCACCTGATATCCCAGCATCATAGGCTCACCTGATATCCCAGCATCATAGGATCACCTGATATCCCAGCATCATAGGATCACCTGATATCCCAGCATCATAGGATCACCTGATATCCCAGCATCATAGGATCACCTGATATCCCAGCATCATAGGATCACCTGATATCCCAGCATCATAGGATCACCTGATATCCCAGCATCATAGGCTCACCTGATATCCCAGCATCATAGGTATACCTGATAGCCTACATAAACCTATGCAGACTGGGATTCAACAAGTCAATGACGAGTTTACCGAGTATGTTTGAGCAGTGTTCGTATGCTGACTGAGACTCGGACTTCAGATGAGTATCTGAAGGTGGATGGTTGGCGGGAAGCCAGTCATCTTTAAGTTTCGGACGTCGACCGGCCACCCAGCTCGTGCAATTTGTAAACACGCTGCTGCCAGCTTGGAGCCGTTATCCCTCCATATAGTTGTCATTTATTTATTTATAACATTTTATGTTCTTGTAAAGTGTGAATGATGATCTCATATAAGGTATATTGTGTTGTAAAGCTTATGCATTTCACGAGTGTAGTTTAATAAGGCAAATTACACAATAATATGGTGTCTGGAACTCCCCATAATCTACAGATATCTAGATTTTTATCCATGATAATTATCATATCATTTTGTATTATGTGTGAATGGCTCCAGAGATAAAAGTGGAATAGTTTGGGCTATGGTCTAGACACTAGACTAAACAGAGAGGCTGGAGGCATTAAACAGGCCCAAACTGGAAGAGGGGAGGAAAGAGGAGACATGATCACTACGTTCAAAATTGTCAAAATAGACAAGGGATGCGTTTTTGAAACCTGTAACTTCAAGAATAAGAGGACATAGATAGCTAAGGAAACAAAGGTGCCGGAAAAAAACATTGGAACGTTCGCTTTTGTGAACAGAGTTGTCGAATGTTACAAAATTTAAAGTGAGAAGGCGGTGGATTCCAAAATTTTTAGCAAGATTTAGTTTAGTTCCTTTCAGACCAACTATTCTATCAAGAAGGGGTTCAAGAACGACCACTAGGATAGTCTCTAAGCTAAGTAACTTACATATGCGGTGAGTTAGTCTCAATTTGAATTTCCTATCCTGCACACCGCACCCAATCCAATGGGGGGGGGGGGGAATCTATAGGAATCTGCTTCAAAATGTTTTATATATATATATATATATATATATATATATATATATATATATATATATATATATATATATATATATATATATATATATATATTATATTATATATATATATATATATATATATATATATATATATATATATATATATATATATATATATATATATATATATATATATATATATATATATATATATATATATATATGACAAAGATTACAAGGCAGGCGGGGACACAGCTCCCGTAGCTCTCATCCTATAACAGCACTTGAACAATTACATAGTCTCCTTCCTATTGGCTATCAATTAAATGACTAGACATAAACTGTCGACTGTGTTGTGAGTGATGTAGACACGATGGTTTACACATTATGTTCATGGTCACTTCCTGTTTTGATTTAGCGTGTGACGGATGTTTGGACGGCGACCAGCCTATTGTCACGACACACTGATGCCTCTGTCCACCCGGGTGTAGCGGCCCCACACACACACAGCAGTGTACCAAGAATGTTATCGGTTATCTTAGACCAGTTGCTCAACTCTCAAGATTATATCGCAGAAGTTAATCTATTGGAATATTTTATCTTTGGGAATTACAAAAAAAATTCTAGCATATTTTTTTTGTCTCTAAAGTTATGAAATATATTTTATGTTGAGGAAACTTTTCAAACCTTAGGTGTTAGTACTTGATTCTTCTGAAGCTGTTTCTTATAGGTTGCTATCAGTAACTCTCTTAACTCAGTGCCGCAGGTGGCACCGCCTGTCAGTGCCGCAGGTGGCACCACCTGTCTCAGTGCCACAGGTGGCACCTGGTAAGGAGAGGGAGAGAGGTTAATACATGATGGAAGTGAGGACAGTGGTCCGGGAGGTGGTGGTGGTGCCACCTCCGGTGGTGTAGCAGGTAACCGGTGGTGTAGCAGGTAACCGGTGGTGTAGCAGGTAACCGGTGGTGTAGCAGGTAACCGGTGGTGTAGCAGGTAACCGGGTTTCTTAAGGAGGTGAGCAGTTGTACTCACCTAGTTGTGCTTACGGGGGTTGAGCTCTGGCTCTTTGGTCTTGCTTCTCAACTGTCAATCAACTGGTGTACAGGTTCCTGACCCTATGAGGCTCTATCTACTCTTGAAACTGTGTATAGAGTCAGCCTCCACCACATCACTTCCTAATGCATTCCATTTGTTAACCACTCTGACACTGAAAAAGTTCTTTCTAATGTCTCTATTGCTCATTTGGGCACTTAGTTTCCACCTGTGTCCCCTAGTGGGCGTTCCCCTTGTGTTAAACTGTCTTTATCTACCCTATCAATTCCTCTGAGAATTTTGTATGTGGCGATCATGCCCCCCCTAACTCTTCTGTCTTCCAGCTAAGTGAGATTTAATTCCCGTAGTCTCTCCTCGTAGCTCATACCTCTCAGCTCGGGTACTAGTCTGGTGACAAACCTTTGAACCTTCTCCAGTTTAGTCTTATGCTTGACGAGATATGGACTCCAGCATGGAGTCCATATCTCACATACTCCAGGATTGGTCTGACATGTGTGTTATACAAGGTTCTGAATAACTCCTTATACAAGTATCTAAAGGCCGTTCTTATGTTGGCCAACCTGGCATATGCCGCTGATGTTATCCTTTTGATATGAGCTTCAGGGGACAGGTCTGGCGTGATATCAACCCCCAGGTCTTTCTCTCTCTCTGATTCTTGCAGAATTCCATCTTCCAAATTGTACGTTGTATCTGGCCTCGTGTTCCTACGGTTGTGTTGGGGTAATGATGCCACTGTGTGTGAAGGTGCGTGTAAGCGGCCTGGCCTCACACCACAGCTGGCCAGGCCTCGCACACACCCTTCATATCATCACCATACATATAGTGACACATAGTGACCAGTATAACTAGGTAAACAAGAGTATTGTGACTAGTAACACTGAGGTGAGGACACGTCCACAGGTGAGGGAGGACGTGAGTGCCGGAGTGGAGGGAGTAGAGCCTCTTCCCTCGGAGGACGACCACCACGCCCTCGTCTCCGCCCTCGCCGCCTGCGTCTTGGCCATGATGGACGCCGACAGGAAGGTGGCCGCCCTCAAGACTCTCCAGGGCCACATGTGGCACAGAGCCTACCACACCGGCGCCATTACTGCCCAGTCAGTTGAATAATTGTCATATCAGTGTTGGGCTCCTGGGTTATCCCTCGCTATAACTGTATAATGTATATACCCGCGCTCCCTGCGGAGGCGACGACTCCTGCCGCTCCCGCCCCGGGGCGCCACCTGCACCCTTTGCGCCCACCTGCGCCACTCCAAGTCCGTTTCAACTGCTTCTTAAAAGGCTTACAGTCCTCTTCAAATAACTTAATTTTCTCCTCTTACATCTCATATAACTTGTGCGTTTATGCAAGCAATCCCCGACCGTCCAAGTGGTTGGGCACTATTCCTTTCCCCCCGTCCCATCCCAAACCCTTATCCTGACCCCTTCCCAGTGCTATATAGTCGTAATGGCTTGACGCTTTTCCCTCATAGTTTCTTTCTTTTCCTTCCACCCTTACATTTCTACTCAGCTTATATTCAAAGCTATGATTACGAATCTTGGTTGGTTGTTGTTTAAGATTCAGCTACTGGGAACAAAACGTTCCAAATAGCACGGGCTATGGTGAGCCCGTCATACGAATCTTGGGATGTTGAGAGTATATATATGTCTTGGGAGGTGTTGAGGAGACCACGGGAGACATCTCCCGTCACGCAGGGTGCAGTCGCACCTCCACAGATCTCCAGTATCATCTCTTGATACTGGTAATGGCTCAAAAGGGCCACCACTTACGGGCTATTCATGCCCGTGCCACCTTTTGGGTGGCTTAATCTTCATCAATCAATCTTGAGGAGACCCAGGAGTGAGGTGCCCGTTCTTGTCTCTCATGGTGAGTCCTCGTGCTGGATATATTCACACTTCACAGGTAGTGGAGTTGGAAGAGGAGAGGGTCCAGACCGCCAGAGATTACAGACTCACCCAATACTCACATCCTGTGAGCGGCGGCGGGAAGGTTACACACAGACACCCCTATAACCATCCTGTGATGAGTATGAGGTGCCCATTACAAGGCTGAATATTGCAATTTCCCAAGGTCATAGGAGACGTCTCCAGGGGGTATGTTTGGTTCTGCAGTCGGGGGTAAGAGTGGGTATTGTTCCCAAGTCTAAGACACTTCAAGTAAGGAGCGCCTAGACAATTAGATCATAGACCAATTGCCAACAACTGTGGCCTAAAGAGTTTACCTGTTTACTCAATAATTTCTTTAGTTTCCAGACATAAATATAGATGACAGTTCCAGAACAGGAGACCTGTAACCAGAGCCTCACATAGCAGCAACACCTGAAATTGTTGGTTTTTATTCCTTAAATCAATATCTTGTTATGTTGTTTGTTACTTGTAAGACATTGATGTTAGGCGTATTATCTTATCTCTCCGTGTTATCTGCCTGTAGTCAGCGAGTCTGGGCCCGTCTCATGATGGTTATTACCTCATAGGAGGCCTCCCATGGGAGGCCTCACATGAGTACAATTGGCAAAGGGGGAGATACCCCCCTTCTGCCCCTACCCAGGGGAGCAAGGTAGGAGGTAGGGAGGGATATCTCCCTTCCAGACTCTCCAGCATGCATTCGTGTGTGCTGGTCCTCATGACTGATGCCGCCTCCTCCTCCTCCTCCCTGGTCATAACCTGTACGTGTGGTGCCGGCAGTGTGTACGAGGACGTGGTGGGGGCCCTGCAGGAGTGGAAGGAGTCCGGCAAGCGCCTCGTCGTCTACTCCTCCGGTAGCGTGCAAGCCCAGAAGCTGCTCTTCACTCACTCCTGCCACGGAGACCTTCTCCATGTGAGTCTGGGGAAAGAGGGAGGGAGGGGGGGGAAGGGGAAGAGCGAGGGGTTGAATCATTGATTGGTAAATAAGTTAACTGACACGGTTGGCGGGACATTGACACGGATGGCATGACTATGACACGAATGGCAGGGCAATGACACGGATTACATGACAATGAGGTGTTGGAGATTTCACCTTGTGCTGTAAGGATCCAAATCCCAGCGGTCAACTGCACAGAAAAACACTAGAAACCGTAGAGCTGCCCGACAGCTTGAAGACAGCCACCATAATACTGATATACATTAAAAAATGAGAGGGGGGGGGGGGGGGCTGCAGACTACAGGCTAATATGCCTAACGTAAAATCTGTATAAAGTCATGGAGCCAATACACAGAAAATTAGTGCAGAAACTGGGGGGGGGGAAGGGTCTGTCGGCCGAGCGGACAGCACGCTGGACTTGTGATCCTGTGGTCCAGGGTTCGATCCCGGGCGCCGGCGAGAAACAATGGGCAGAGTTTCTTTCACCCTATGCCCCTGTTACCTAGCAGTAAAATAGGTACCTGGGTGTTAGTCAGCTGTCACGGGCTGCTTCCTGGGGGTGGAGGCCTGGTTGAGGACCGGGCCGCGGGGATACCTAAAGCCCAGAAATCATCTCAAGATAACCTCAAGAAGGGACTGTCGGGGCACCAAAGCACTGGTTCAGTACAGTCGGGTCTTGCCTCACAAACTTATTACAATTACATAAAGGGTCAATGAAGATCAGTCAGGCCATAGAAGTAATTATCAAAAGAAGGCACCGAGCCGAAAGGACATAGAAGTGTGGACAGAGTACACCATTATAGTTCTCTAAAAGGACTAACACATTAATTGACAATATGAACAGACCGGAATGTGAGGGAGGACACGCTTGGAGATAAGAGAGAGAGCCGCGTCATGGTCAGGGGGATATGATGAGGGTGGGGATAGGGGCTACCAGCAAGGGAGACATCTCCCGTCACGCAGGGTGCAGTCGCACCTCCACAGATCTCCAGTATCAGCTCTTGATACTGGTAATGGCTCAAAAGGGCCACCACTTACGGGCTATTCATGCAAGTGCCACCTTTTGGGTGGCTTAATCTTCATCGAATCGGGGCTACCAGGGTCCCCATTGCTCTCTTCCCGAGAAACATTCTATTCTTGGCTGATGTGAGTCTTGTACAAAGAGTAACACACTTGCTTATGTTAATGTTTGTGGCTAATGAGCAGCATAAGAAGAGAGGATGGCTACAAGAGACGGCCACAAGACGTTACCAAGCAACAGGAATGGTCCGACAATTGGCTACTGGAGTTCAGTCTCAGCTAATGTAGGGATTAGCAGGGTTAATAATCATGGCTCTGGCAGATATGAGGCCGGAGACGAGATACCCCCTTGGGAGTAAGGAGGGAAGGTACCTTCTTGAGGTTATCTTGAGATGATTTCGGGGCTTATAGCGTCACCGCGGCCCGGTCCTCGACCAGGCCTCCTTTTTTGTTATACACTTCCCCAGGAAGCAGCCCGTAGCAGCTGTCTAACTCCCAGGTACCTATTTACTGCTAGGTAACAATCACATCAGGGTGAAAGAAACATTTTGCCCATTTGTCTATCTATCTTCAGGTTATCTTGAGATGATTTCGGGGCTTTTAGTGTCCCCGCGGCCCGGTCCTCGACCAGGCCTCCACCCCCAGGAAGCAGCCCGTGACAGCTGACTAACACCCAGGTATTTTACTGCGTAACAGGGGTATAGGGTGAAAGAAACTCTGCCCATTGTTTCTCGCCGGCGCCTGGGATCGAACCCAGGACTACAGGATCACAAGTCCAGCGTTCTGTCCGCTCGGCAAACCGGCTCCCCTTCCCCAAGTCTCACAGACGCCTGAGAATAGACATTACCTGGGACCTACTCTCGAGGTGTATATATTAACCAGGTATCACAATGTTCTAAAACAGCCAACACCATGAGCACTGTGAACAGTCAACACCACGATCACTGAGAACAGTCAACACCACGAGCACTGAGAACAGTCAACACCACGAGCACTGAGAACAGTCAACACCACGATCACTGAGAACAGTCAACACCACGATCACTGAGAACAGTCAACACCACGATCACTGAGAACAGTCAACACCACGATCACTGAGAACAGTCAACACCACGAGCACTGAGAACAGTCAACACCACGATCACTGAGAACAGTCAACACCACGATCACTGAGAACAGTCAACACCACGAGCACTGAGAACAGTCAACACCACGAGCACTGAGAACAGTCAACACCACGATCACTGAGAACAGTCAACACCACGAGCACTGAGAACAGTCAACACCACGAGCACTGAGAACAGTCAACACCACGAGCACTGAGAACAGTCAACACCACGATCACTGAGAACAGTCAACACCACGATCACTGAGAACAGTCAACACCACGATCACTGAGAACAGTCAACACCACGATCACTGAGAACAGTCAACACCACGATCACTGAGAACAGTCAACACCACGATCACTGAGAACAGTCAACACCACGATCACTGAGAACAGTCAACACCACGAGCACTGAGAACAGTCAACACCACGAGCACTGAGAACAGTCAACACCACGATCACTGAGAACAGTCAACACCACGATCACTGAGAACAGTCAACACCACGATCACTGAGAACAGTCAACACCACGATCACTGAGAACAGTCAACACCACGATCACTGAGAACAGTCAACACCACGATCACTGAGAACAGTCAACACCACGATCACTGAGAACAGTCAACACCACGATCACTGAGAACAGCCAACACCACGATCACTGAGAACAGCCAACACCACGAGCACTGAGAACAGCCAACACCACGATCACTGAGAACAGCCAACACCACGATCACTGAGAACAGTCAACACCACGAGCACTGAGAACAGTCAACACCACGATCACTGAGAACAGTCAACACCACGATCACTGAGAACAGTCAACACCACGATCACTGAGAACAGTCAACACCACGATCACTGAGAACAGTCAACACCACGATCACTGAGAACAGTCAACACCACAGATCACTGAGAACAGATCACTGAGAACAACACCACGATCACTGAGAACAGCCAACACCACGAGCACTGAGAACAGTCAACACCACGATCACTGAGAACAGTCAACACCACGATCACTGAGAACAGTCAACACCACGATCACTGAGAACAGTCAACACCACGATCACTGAGAACAGTCAACACCACGATCACTGAGAACAGTCAACACCACGATCACTGAGAACAGTCAACACCACGATCACTGAGAACAGTCAACACCACGATCACTGAGAACAGTCAACACCACGATCACTGAGAACAGTCAACACCACGATCACTGAGAACAGTCAACACCACGATCACTGAGAACAGTCAACACCACGATCACTGAGAACAGTCAACACCACGATCACTGAGAACAGTCAACACCACGATCACTGAGAACAGTCAACACCACGATCACTGAGAACAGTCAACACCACGATCACTGAGAACAGTCAACACCACGATCACTGAGAACAGTCAACACCACGATCACTGAGAACAGTCAACACCACGATCACTGAGAACAGTCAACACCACGATCACTGAGAACAGTCAACACCACGATCACTGAGAACAGTCAACACCACGATCACTGAGAACAGTCAAACCAGCACTGAGAACAGTCAACACCACGATCACTGAGAACAGTCAACACCACGATCACTGAGAACAGTCACACACGATCACTGAGAACAGTCAACACCACGATCACTGAGAACAGCCAACACCACGATCACTGAGAACAGTCAACACCACGATCACTGAGAACAGTCAACACCACGATCACTGAGAACAGTCAACACCACGATCACTGAGAACAGTCAACACCATAAGCACTGAGAACAGTCAACACCACGATCACTGAGAACAGTCAACACCACGATCACTGAGAACAGTCAACACCACGATCACTGAGAACAGCCAACACCACGATCACTGAGAACAGTCAACACCACGATCACTGAGAACAGTCAACACAGATCACACAACACGATCACTGAGAACAGTCAACACCACGATCACTGAGAACAGTCAACACCACGATCACTGAGAACAGTCAACACCACGATCACTGAGAACAGTCAACACCACGATCACTGAGAACAGTCAACACCACGATCACTGAGAACAGTCAACACCACGATCACTGAGAACAGTCAACACCACGATCACTGAGAACAGTCAACACCACGATCACTGAGAACAGTCAACACCACGATCACTGAGAACAGTCAACACCACGATCACTGAGAACAGTCAACACCACGATCACTGAGAACAGTCAACACCACGATCACTGAGAACAGTCAACACCACGAGCACTGAGAACAGTCAACACCACGATCACTGAGAACAGTCAACACCACGATCACTGAGAACAGTCAACACCACGATCACTGAGAACAGTCAACACCACGATCACTGAGAACAGTCAACACCACGAGCACTGAGAACAGTCAACACCACGATCACTGAGAACAGTCAACACCACGATCACTGAGAACAGCCAACACCACGATCACTGAGAACAGTCAACACCACGATCACTGAGAACAGTCAACACCACGATCACTGAGAACAGTCAACACCACGATCACTGAGAACAGTCAACACCACGATCACTGAGAACAGTCAACACCACGATCACTGAGAACAGTCAACACCACGATCACTGAGAACAGTCAACACCACGATCACTGAGAACAGTCAACACCACGATCACTGAGAACAGTCAACACCACGATCACTGAGAACAGTCAACACCACGATCACTGAGAACAGTCAACACCACGATCACTGAGAACAGTCAACACCACGATCACTGAGAACAGTCAACACCACGATCACTGAGAACAGTCAACACCACGATCACTGAGAACAGTCAACACCACGATCACTGAGAACAGTCAACACCACG